GGGAAATAAGGTATTTGGGTCAAAACTAAAAAGAAAAAAAGAAGAAAGAGGCCCATTAACCCATCAGTCGCCGTCCGTCAGCCGAGCCGCGCCGCGTGTGCCTCACCAAGCCGCCACGTGTCGCTCTCTGCCGCGTCGCAGATCAATGGGCCCTAGCTGCACCGGCTCGCACACGCGCTTGGCGTGCACGGCCCTCCTCCCCGGGCAAGTCCTTCTCACGCGCGCGTCAGGCGTTTTCCATCCAATTTCTGCGTGGGTCCTGCGGTCCAGAAGCTCTCCAACCAGCCTCCGCCACGCGTCCTATGGGGCCCAGCACTTCCCCCCACATATGCGCACTTGGCGCGCACAGCGTTCTCCCCCCGGGCGAGTTTCTCTCAAACGCGCGTCAGGCCAGTGCTGAAACTTTGGACGGACCGCCCGTGACCACCGAAAAGTCTGAATTTTTGCCCGATGACCGAGCCCGATCTGCCTGAATTTTCGGGCTGCCCGACCCGACCCGAAAATTACCATGAACGGGCTTCGGACAGAGGATGCCTGCCCGTGCCCAGTCGGGCTGCCCGATGCCCGACCGGTTGCCCGATTTTTTTTTATATTATATTTTTATGTTGTTGAAATAAGTATTTGTATAATTACAATGTGTATATTACAATTTGAAATATGAAATGAATACTGAACACACGAACGAACTATATAAAAAAAATTACTTCTTCATTGATTTTTAAATTTGTAATTCATGATTGCCTCATTAAAAACCTTACCAAGAAAAACCCAATTGGGATAAAAACTTGGTAAGGAAAAAATAGTGCAATCATTGTGGGACGAATTACAAATTTGATGAACTTACAAAGTCTATACAAGATTACAATAAACATTATACAAATTAGAAATTACAAAGTAAATAAATATTTACAAACAAATTATCAAGATCAAGCAGAATGATCATGTTAAAAATTAAAAGTTAATCTATTAAATTCGTCGATCCATTCTTGGTTTGCCGGTGAGATTGTATCGTGTAAGCGTTGGTCGGAACGGTCCCAATCCTTGATGCACAACAAAGCTTCAACAATATCCTGCTGCAATGCGTTTCCCGTTCTTCAAGTATTCGGCCGGTTGTACTGAATGCTTGTTCGGCTGCAACAGTGGAGACCGAGATTGAAAAAATATCCATTGCCAGTCGTGTTAGGATCGGCTAAGTTAATGCTCGTGCCCTCCACCACTCAACCAAATCAAACACCTCACTACTGTCTACAACTAAGCCCTCACTCAGGTACGCCATTAACTCGTTGAATCCGCCGCCACCTCTTGATGAAGATCCACTTCCACTCCCAGATTCTTCTTGACCTTGACTCGTCATCGTCGTCTTCTTCTTCTTCTTCTTAGACAACCTGTGACACCCCTTATATACCATCTCCTTCAAACGTTTTAGTTCCTTGCCAACAATCCTAAGTACGTGCCACAATCACTAATCTTCACCTGTCACTTATGTGAAAACTATGGTGTTTCATTTTTTTTTTTTTTGCTTAAAC